CCCCAAAACCCCAAAACCCCAAAACCCCAAAACCCCAATTTTGATAAATTTTATTGAAATTTAGCGATGGATACTGCATTTGAGGTAACTTATTTGGATAATTTTAGAGCGAACAGGATAAGAGAGTGAAGCAATTTATAGATGCCAATAGTAGTAACAGAGACAAGATGTTGACTTATTATATGCAACAGATGAAGAAGGTGTGAAAGAGGTTGGTGATGCTATAGAATGACTTGATGGACAAAATGAGCAAGAAGAAGTATTTTAATCAGATTAGCGGTAATTTTTGATACTGAGAGTATTTTGAATAGAGAATAAATAAGAAGATTGAAGTTTATAATGGGATTTTGTTGAAGGTTGGGTTCTATTGATAAGAGAATAGCATGAGGAAGTAATCAAGGATGTTATCAGGCAAGAACCATTTGAAATCAGGTATTCATCTTTGACTTAGGCTTAGATTAAGCTCTATTCACAGAGAGCTCAGCTCAAAAATTGATGGAAATTTTACAATTTTGAAATAAATGCATCCACGAATCGATAGATGGGGCAAGGATAAATAACTCCAGTTCTAACAAAAGTTTTGCCACTCAATTTGGTACAATTTGAATTAATCTTCAGAGCAAATTAATTCTTCGTTGGGCACATTTCGGCAAAAAGCGTCGATCCAGGAGGCAGAAATAAATACATTTAGAGAGAAACTTGACAGAGTTGACAAAAGTAAGTTTGGATCACTTCGTTTGCCAACCTCGGTATTATAGACCTTGAGGTAAATTCTTCCTGCGAGGAATAGACCACAATAGAAAAATTGCATGAAAAGGCTGAAAATGATGCAATTAACCATCTTTTTGAACGCATTCAGTACTTAGAGCAACATTTGGGCCAAGGCACTGAGAGCTACACCGAGGATGGTACCTAGCCAGGTTTTAGTATAGATATGGTAGAGGACCTTGAGGAGCATGGGAGCAGCCGAAATGACAAAAACTCAGATTCCTCCAATGAGGATTCAAGTAATCCTTAGGTATATTATTCCTAGAGGAAGTCTCTTTTAAGGAGATTAACTCATGTATGGGTATCCCAAAGCCCGGCCAAGAGAAGAAGGCTCCTTCTGGAGGTTAGTTTCAAATTTTTTAATCTGATTTAGATCAGTCCCGAGTAACTTATTATTCGAAGAAAGAAGTCGGGCTGATAAAAGTTGATACATCGAGTAGAGTTTATCATTAAGCTGTTTTTAGATTTTAATGTTTTCAAGAAACATGAGACTCAAAGCCCTCTAGTAAAGCTTAGGGATAGTAGTAATAAGAGCCTTCTGGTTGATAGAGTTGGATCTTTTAGATATGCTAATACTCCTTAAAAATGCTCTTTTTAAGTCACAATTTCAGAAAAGTCATTATGTTGAGAATGAAGGGAGTTTTAAGACTCCAAGGGATATTCCAAGACCTCTCGGTAAGATCAAAGCTCCCTCAAGATCTACAAAGAGAAGTCAGTTTAATAGGACAACCCAGAAACTTAGCAGAGCTTTTGCTCTAATAGATGAAAATGCAGTGGCTATTTCTGAATGTGTAGCAGATATTAACCAAATTCAGGAGAAGATTTCAAGCATCGAGAGGCAGATTGATAATTTAGGTAAAAATAATTGTACTTCCAAAAAATGTTTGCCAATTTACGAAAAGGGTTTTTTCAGTGCTTTAAAAGCTCAAATTCCTACTAAACCCCTCTAAACTTCCTTACCTCAACTTGGGATTGTGTGGAGAAACAAGGAGTGACTTTCTATGGCTCTTGACTTCCCAGTCTGGTTTTTAAAACTCTATAGAGACTTCTCAAAAGTAGGTTTGCCAAAAAATTATTCTGAACCTCTAGAATGCTAGAAAATTTAGAACCAAGGCTTACTGAGCTATCATCAGGATTGACTTCTGTCAAGGAAAATTTGGCAATAATGGAGCCTATTCCTCAGACAATCCATCAGCTTCAAGAGGCTATCCAGACATTGACCAAGGCTAAGAAGAACTATGATACGGCGAATTGGCTTAAACGACTGAGTAATGTCCAAAACCTTGGCTAATCTCATAGAATATCTAGAGATTTCTACAGAGGAAATCACCAAGAACATATCTCAAATCAGCCAAAAGATGGCTCTTTTAGGCTCCAAAAGCACTTTGCTGGCCTTTGAAACCCAGGTTCTCAAAAAGGTGGATGCAAAGCTGGAGAAGGTCTACGGCCAGGTCCAAGAAATGGCCTTTGACCAGCAGAGTTTTAACTCAATGATTAAGTCGACCCAGGACCATATCTCAGAGCCAATTAAGATCGAAGTCAGGAATATGAGGAAAGAGACTGAGAGTGTTCACAGAGAGCTGGAGAGAACCATGAATGCAAATAGGGAAATTCTCACTCGCATGGAAAAGTTTCGCACTCAGAATACTCATAGGAGGAGGTCGATGTGTCAGACTATTATTGATAATCGCAAGCATGTCAGTACGTCTAATAGATCCTCGAGGGGTAAGAAGAAGCTGTTTGTAAGTGAAATTGTTATTTTTAGTCTAAAATTCTGAATTTGAATCTTCCAACAAACAGGCACAGGAACATCAGGTCTAAGTGTTCATCTCTGATGTAGGAGATAACTGTCATTTCACAAATTTGACATTCAATTTTGGTAATATTTTAGGGGTTTTGGGGTTTTGGGGTTTTGGGGTTTTGGGG